ATATTTTTTTACTTTATTTTTATTATAAATAGGAGGTATTATTATTGACCTGACAGAGGAAAAAAAAAAAAAAAAAAAGGAGATATTATTATTGAATCTTCACAACTTAGAGAAAAATATTTATCAATTATATATAATATAGAATTAAAATTTTTAAAAATTATTTTTATCGAACAAGTAATTTAAATTACTATTGATAAATCAATTGATAGTTATAGATATGCAACTGTAAATATTTTGTTTAGTTTTAAAAATTTTATAAAACTTGTTAAAATTAAATATTTGACAATTGTAGATAATTTATTTATAGTATAATTAGTTATATATATTATTCATTTTGATGATATTTCTTTTAAAAATATTATTTTATCTATTTCATATATATTAAAAGCTTTTACTATTTTATCTTCTTTAATTTCTTAAATGAAATATAATTGTTGTTTTACATATATTTCAAATTTGATAAATAATACTTGAATAAAATTTAATAATTTTAACTATTAGAATTGAAACTTAAAATATTAAAACATCTTTTATTCAAAATAATTCTTATAAAAAAAAAACATATTTCTTTTTTAAATTTATTTTCCTTTTTTAATAATTTAACTTTATTTCCTTTATCTATAAAAATTAAATGGAATTCTTGATTTAATTTTGTTTTTTGGATAGAAAAACATTTATATTATTTGAAAGTTTTTTTTTTTTAAGAAGAAAATATAAATAATAAAAGCAAGGCAGTTAAAAAATCAATTACAATGTTTAATAATTCAATAAATATTTTTATATTCAAAATTTTAACAATATTTATTATATTTAATATAAAAAGATAAGTTATTTATATTATAATTTTAATTAATTACAGTAATTATTATTATAGTCTTTATAAAAGTTTGAAATTTTTTAAAATTTATAACAAATCTATAGTACATTTTGTGTTTGTAAAATTATATTTACTTGAATCTCATTTACAATTGGATACAATCCAACCTCCAATTAGTAGTGAAATTAATATCAAATTTAATTCTTAACTATGAATTCATCAGTATTTTAAGAAATATTTCATAACTTTTAAATCAATATTAAATAAATTTAAAAAATACAGTATATTGATTATTATTTTGCATTACTATTATTTAAAGCTATTCAATATTTTAATTCTTAATTTATACAAGTTAGTCAAGCAAGATATAATATTTAAAGATATAGTGAAATCAAAGAATTTAAAAATCCTAATAGTATTATTTTATTTAAATAGAAAATTTATTATAAATTAAATAAAGATTTTAAAGAAGATAATAAATTAGATTTAGATAAATATTGGAATAATAAAAAAATCATCTTTGAAATTTGTCTAAAATAGTATTAATGTATATTTAAATTCCAGTATCGGGGGTTGATATAGAAAGAAGTTTTTCATCTTATAAAAATATTTTTAGTGATAAACATTGTTCATTATCAGAGGAATCAATTTCTATTTTAAATTTTTTATATTTTAATAAGGATTAATAAATATAATAAAATTTTCTCCTTTTTTCGTATTTTTTTAACCTTTTGCATTTTTTGCATTTTTTCAGACATACTGTATTTTAAAGTCATAAAGGGCATATATAATAAATTACCGCACGCATATTTTTGAATATATGCGGCCGCCCTAATTTGAAGCGACAATTTACCATTTATCACGTGAAAGTGTTGTCTTGTCATTTTTAGAAATAATATAATTCGAAATAATTTATTTGACACACAATATACACAATATACTGTATAAGCAGAGATAGATTTTTGAAGGAAACTCGGAGTTTACTTTAAGATTTATCATTAAAATAAAGTCAATAGTTTTATTTAAGCATACATTTTTGTAAATGATTATATTTAAATAATGTTAATTCAGCGAAATATTAATATGGCTCTCGCAACTTTGATTAAAATTTGACACTTAAATATGAGTAAAACTATGTTATGAAAAATCTCTATAATATTATTTTTGATTAAAAAAAAATTAACAAAAATCTACAACGATGATTTAAATTAATTAAAATCCAATTCCAAAATACAGTATACAATAATTGAATCGAGGAGCTATCTTAAATAAAATACTCAGTTTTTAAAAAAAGATACGTAAACGATAGCTCTCGGAATAATTATCAAGAAAAATATAAATTTTATTGTCTGATTACTTCCAAAAAAAACAAAAAATAAATAAATAAAACAAATACGATTAATATTTAACATACAGTGCTATAATCAATACTAGTAATTTTTATATTATTTTTATATTTTATTAATATCACGTGTAATAATAATTTAGAAAGGTTTGATAATAAAAATTAATATACGTGATTCTTATTAAACTGATTTTTATCGATCAAAATAAATTGTTGTTCGTTTTAGAAACTATTTTCATAGTGATCACATGGCCTGGTTTAGTTGCGTTCAATTATTTTTTACAAATAATATTAAATCACACTGCACAGAATGCGGAATGTTTCGAATTGTAATTGTAGACAAAAATGTCTACTCACCGGTGTTGCTGTGACACGAAGCACATATGCAGTAAATAATGGTTATACGTATAGACATCTTGGAAATAATAAACGGGGCAGATTCTTGACTCGCGAAATATTAAATGTCAGCAAACTTAGCTCTTGTAATTTCCGCCCTTAGTGCTATTTCTGGGCAAAATGTTGTTTCGGATGATAAGTTATTCAACAAAATCGACGATGGAAATAATCAATTGGAAACGAGCTACTTTCACCAATTTTTAGTTTGTGGTCCTACTAACATCAACATCTCCGAACCTACCTCTAACCCCCAAAACGACGGAAAAACGATAAATAGCGACATATTGTTCAACAAAAGAAGTGTCCATGCTAAACGGTTGGATATCAAAAGTCTTCATCAATCTTACTTAGTTGGTGGTCCCCTCGGAGTTTCTCATAAGACCTCCACCCCAAGCGTTAATATTTATCGGATATATATTAAAACATTAACCAACGAAGTAATTACCGCCTCTGTTAAAAATACCACGACTGTTAAAGTATTGAAAAAAAAGATTCATGAAAAAAGGGGCATCCTCCCTGATAAGTTGACTTTTGATGGTAATCAGTTAGAGGATGGAAAGTCACTCGGTGATTACAATGTTCAAAATGGATCAGTTTTATACATGGTTCCTCACCTTAAGAAAGACGAAATTAAACCCCAGTGTATCTTTGTCTCCCAGGAATTTCTTCACCCTAAATATGACTATAATTTCACAAACATTAATGATGACGGTCGGAAATTTATGCGCGGACAATACGAATACAAACGTCCGGTGGGCTGGAATCGAATTGCCCTCAAGGTATTAAACAAATATGAAGATAACATTTGGCTCGGAGTAGGTGGTACTCACCGACGAGTTAATTCTATTAGTGCATGTTTAAATGAATGGCCAGTATCTTACCATGGTACAGAGAAGCATAATTTCAATTCAATTGCTAGTACGGGATATTCGTTAAGCAAGGGAAAGAGATTTAATTTTGGTCAGGGAATTTATTCTACACCGGATATTAACATTGCAGCTCAGTATGCCAAGGAGTTTACGCATGATGGTGAGAGGTACAAAATGGTGTTTCAGAATCGAGTGAACCCTGAGAATTTGGTACGAATTAGTGCAGCTAAAACGAAAAAGGGAGGAGAGTTTTGGGTTTCACCTAAGGGCGAAGATATAAGACCTTACGGAATTTGCATTAAAAAGCTTTAATATAGAATGGTTCTTAAAATTAAAGTTTATTTATCTATTATTTTGCGAAGCACATTTTACATACTCTTTTTATTATATACAGTATCTTTTGCATTGGTGACTCTGAATAAAATTGACTGTGACATACAAAGAACTTTGAGATCGTATACTGTATGTATAAAATAAACCATTTTTGAACATAAAATAAACTGTATACTGTAGTATGTAAAATTTCTTCTATTTTTAAACATGCTGTGATTGAGGTTGTGTGTATGAAAGTTTTATTTTCTTCTCTTCTGGTTGCCTTGATTCTCTTAGAGCTTTTATTTAGTTTAATTCTGAATTTTTGTATAGTACAATTCTCATTAAAGATAATTGGTTTATATGAAACATATTAATTTTTAAGATACTGTATAAACAAGCTCTTATTAATTATACTCAAATTTTTAATAATGTTATTACTGATTCATTTTACAAAAGATTTATTTGCAAGAAATTAATATGTTACAATAAACAATAAAATAATATTTATAGTATAGAAACAAACAGCATGTATTTTAGATCTTTAATAAACAATTAATCTATGTTTATTCATATTCTAAATATAAACAAATAGAAATCAACTATTATAACAAGAAATCAATAAAAGATCTACATAACTTATTTTATACTATATATTTGTAATAAAAATAAATAAAAATAAAAATAAATTTTATAAATTGTATAATAAAAAAAGAAAGCATAATTGATATTTTAATTAGTTTATTTTTTTTTATTTTTTTTAAATGAGCTTATATTTAACTTTATTAGATTCTAAATTATATATATATATGTTATGCTATATAAAGATATACACGGACTCAAAAAATTGTCCCAATAATTAAAACTTTTTTGTTTATAGGATATATTTTTTGATCGATTAATTTAAAAAAAC